TTCGATCCCTGGGTGGGGAAGATCCTCTGGAGAAGAGAATGGCAAACCCACTCCAGTACTCTTGCCTGGAGAATCCCATGGACGGAGGAGCCTGGTGGGCTACAGTCCACGGGGTCGTAAAGAGTCGGATACGACTGAGCGACTTCACTTTCACTTTCACTTTAGAGGACTAAGGATGTTATTCCCTGGTGGCTCAAATAGTAAAGAATCTGCCTGTAATGCAGGAGACCATGGTTCTGATCCTTGGGTCGGGAAGATCCTCCGGAGAAGGGAATGGCTACCCACTCCAGTATTCTTGCCTGAAGAATTCTATGGACAGAGGAGTCTGGTGGGCTACAGTCCATGGGGTCACAAAGAGTGGGACCTGATGGAACGCCTCACTCACTTTACTTTCTTCCCAGCTTAGCAGTGCTTTGATAACATAATTAGAAAATATTTTATCTAGCACTTTTGAGTGCTTTGTACTGGGAGAGTTTTGGTGGGGAATAATCTAGACTTTATATTTAATTGTCACATCTTCAAAGCCATTCTCAGCCATGTTGCACAGGGTATAAGTTTGGGTCTCCTATGAAGCACTTCTTTAGGTATTAGAACAATCTCTAAAATGCTTCTGGAGGACAACGATGAAATAGCTTTCTATCCAGGCTAGGATCTTGGTTATATTCTTCAATTTTCACAATAACAAAGTATAATTATTCCCTATCCTTAGATTTCTAGAAGAAGTTCACATAATGATGCACTGAACTGTATAAGGTTAAGAGAGAATAGCTTGCAGTAGACTAATGCTCCGGATGAGAACAGCTAGAAAAGTTGTATAAAATACAAGTAAAAGTTTGAAAGCATTAAGCTATTGCTGAGACAACCAGGGACTTGAAATGAGGAGAAACTATACGGAGAGAATCAAAGATAAGATATATTATCACTTTTGAATATGATAGAGTAGCTTGAGGCAGACAAGTACTACCATGAAGATGAACAAGACACTCTAGGGATAAATACCAACAAATTGTTTAAAAGCACTGGAAAGTTACTAAAACAACCAGACTTTATGGCTAAGTTGAACTGACACACTGCAGCTGTTTGTACCTGGATGTATTTGCTGATTCTGGACAAGAAAATGAAAATCTGAACTTTGCCTTGGAAGAATACCAATGACATTGACAGATGGCTTCAAGAAGCTGGAAAAAAAAAAAAAGAAAATTTAAGAGTTCAGACTACGTCAATATTCTGGTGAGAGGGTGTGTCGAAGACTGAACCTGACCCTCAGCTCCTTTTCCACTCAAGATATTTGTCAAATTTCAAAGCTGCCAAGGGCAGGAGGCTAAAAGGCTTACAAGAAAAACACAGTTGGGATTTTGACAATATAGGGGTGTTGAGGAATCTAACTGTTCAAATGAACTTATTTACAAAACAGAAATAGAGTCACAGATGTAATAAACAAACTTATGGTTACCAGTGGGGTAAGGGGTGGGGAGGGATAAATTGGGAGCTTGGGATTGACATACGCACACAATAGTATATAAAATATTATAGATAACTAATAAGGACCTAGGGGCTTCCCCAATGGTTTAGCAGCAAAGAATCCACCTGCCAATACAGGAGATTTAGGTTTGATCCCTGGGTCAGGAAGGTCCCCTGAAAAAGGAAATCGCAACTGACTCCACTATTCTTGCCTGAAAAAACCCCATGAACAGTGGAGCCTGATGGGCTACAGTCCAAAGTGTCGCAAATAATCAGATGTGACTGAGTACACACACAATAAGGACTAGACGTGTAGCACGGGAAACTCTACTTGATCCACTATAATGAACTGTATTGAAAAAGAACCCAAAAAAGAGTGGATATATGCATATGTATAACTGATTCACTTTGCTGTACAACAGAAACTAACACAGCAGAGTAAATAAACTACACTCCAATAAAAAGAATTTAATTACAAAAAGAAAGGGGGTCGCTAGGAAAGGAGGGTCTTCAGGGAAGACTTCAAGAAAGAAATATGAAGGAAAACACTAGGCAAAAAGTCACTGCCCTCAATAACAAAAACTTTCATTTAAAAAAAGAAAAGTAATAAAAATACTAAAAAAACAAAACAAAAAAATCACTGTCCAACCTAGAAGTCACTGTTCCAGGCCAACTCAACCTGCCACAGGACCTCAAACAAGTCACTTCCCCTCTCTGAATCTGAGTTTCTCTTATAAAGGTGGACATTTGCATCCTACAGTTTTCAAGGTCCTTGTCAGACTGATATTTAACTTTTCTCCATCCTATGGTAAGAGGGTGGCCTTCACCTAACCCAGTAGAGAGCCAGAGGAAACAAAATATGGGTGATGAACTCCAGTGCTTACAGAGGTAGGGGGACAGCATGAGAGAATGAAGCAAGGATGACAAAAAAAAGCAGGTAAAGCCCATCTAAAGGAGGCAGCTGCACTTAACTCCAGGTGATGGTCACCATAAGGAAAGACCTTGCAATATTTTGAGCTAAAAGGAAATTCAGATTTTTTTTTAATGTAGCCTGCTGATGGCCTGCTCTTAGCAATAAATTCTCTTTAAAAAAAAAAGAGAAACAAAAAATCAACCTGTGTCAAAAAAAAAAAAAAAATCTGCAGCCATTTTCAGAGATACTATATCCTTCTACTTTTCTGTATATTCATTCTATTAATTTTTGAGAGTTTGATATTGAAACTCCAACTAAAAATCTTAATCAACTTCAAAAATATATAGTGGAACTATATGTAAATTTGTTCTATAGTTTCCAAGTCTCCTGTAAATGTGTTATCATACTTTCATAATTTAAAACATTCTTTAAAAGAGGAAAAAATATCTGTAGCCAGATACAGCCTGTAAGCCTACAGTTCACAACTTCTGATGAAGAAGATGCTATGATAAAATTTGTTTTTTATCATTGGGCCTTTCTAGAAGGTTGGTTATTCCCCCTTAAGAGACACTGTGCAGAAACTCCTTTCTGGAGTTTTAGGCAAGAACTAGAACTAAGACTTTTTTTCCTGTACCTGCTGCTTCCCACCCCCAGGAGCTGAGCCTCCCCTCAGTCTGGGACTGATGCCCACTGCCTGCGACACACACCTCCCTGCAGCTCCAAGCTTTGCCCTTTCACGAAGGAGCTGGAACTCAGGAGACAGTAGCAGCTCCAGCCCTTCCCACACCATCCCCTCCCCTACTTCAAACTGAGAAGTGGCCCCCAAGATAAAACTGACAGTGTGTGAGCAGTCAGCACAGATGGGGACAGTCAGAGGGACAGTCCCAGAAGCCCAAGTCACTGCCCCTATACCCCAGCCCCAATCGTCAGGAGGTAGAAATGCTCACTAATGAGACTGGGACCATGTGAATACCTTCAGGCAGATCCAATTCCTGGTCCAAACTAACCTTGCTCAGTTAAACAAAACAGGAGAATCTCAGTTAATGGTTTCTTATTTAACTAACAGGAACTTTGAGAAAGAAAACATTCTCAGATCTTATATCAAACACTTTTATTTTTAAAGTGAGAAGTTCACAGAGGATAGCTACAGGAGAGTGAAATATTTAGAGTAGAAAAATTGTGGGTGCTAGCCAAACCTCAAATACTGTCACAGCAGAGTTATTCCAATAGTACTTTTCCAGCATGGCATATCACACGTGTTAAAATTAACTGCATTCTCAGAACACCTTTCAACGGATGTCCATGATGATAGAAGTGAACATTCAGAGGCTCCTGTTCTTAAGATCTTACAGAATGGATTTATGCACAGTCCAAAACAAAGTATATTACAACACAACCAAAACAATTCACCTCCATTAAAAAAAAATGTTGACTTGCAAGAAATTGGTAGGAAGACTTAAAATAACAAGAAGAATATAGGCAAGAAACAGAAATGGCTACTTTTATGTGCAAGGTACTGGATTCTTGCATTGAGAATCAGTGTCAGTCTTCACTTCCAATATCACATCGATAAAGTGTGGCAGGAAAACGAGTCACCTTCAATATGAAGGATGCGAGTTGTGTACACTTACAACACTCCTGAAGATACAACAGTGTCGCAGGCGGAATGCCAGCAAACAGAGGGGACCTTCCGATGAGGTCAAACACTCATGAGTTATCAGATGACCCTTCAGGTACTTGGGTTAAGCAACTACAACATTCTGGTTTAATCAAGGCACTTGCAGAGAGTGATCCTTGACATGACATAGAGTCCCTACAAGTTGCTGGCCAATGATAATGGCATGGGTTTTTTTTATTAGGCAGCATCTACACTGAGAACCCAAGCATAATACCTGGGCCACAGGTAAGGTCACTTATCCCACTGGGACTGCAAAACCAGATTTGCTTAAGCTTTCCCCAAATCATGATTTTTGATGAGTCACGTTTGAACAGAAAGGCTTCATGTAAAATCTGATTCTCCAGAGTTATAATTCACCTTTCCCCATTAACCACTCAATACCCCTAAAGTTGGTTTGGGTTCTTCTCCACGAGAATACCTAGAATGGATCATTTTCTCCCCCCTACAAATTACTTCCCCAGGAGAAAACTGTAAAACCAACTTAAAAAAACAAAATAACCTTCATTTTCTCACCAACAGTTAAGTATCAGACCTCCTGCTCCCACTCTGACGTGAGCTGCAGAGCCCTTTGTGTATATTTCTCAGACATTCCTCATACCATTAACACAGCTTTCCATCACCATCCACTGTCCATCCTCAACCTTTCCTTGCCCAAGATGAAAGCCAGTGAATTGAGAGGGAAGGAGAAAAGGGTGTTGACAGAATATGACTTTTATAAAACTAGGGTTCCAGGCTGTAACTTGATCCTCCACAGCAACACTGGGCAATGTCATCCATACAAACCCCCACACTAAATTCTCAAGGGGCTATCATTTTTTGTAGCCAGGTCTCAAAAGCTCCAACCTAAACCTACTGAAGGAAAGTAGCAACGCCTTCCTAAGATTGAGCAACACAGACCTAGAATCACATGGGGGAATAAGGTCAAGACCGGTCACCAGGTTGCTTCATTCATCGGTAAGAGGCCAAGTTCTCCATCCTCCCCCAGCTCTGCCATTCTGGGAAGAGCCCACTAGCCAGCCTTGGGCTGCCAAAGACGGTCGACTCCAGCTCGGCCTTGGGGGGTGGCGCCTGGTGGAAGGCACAGTCCTGGGATGCCATCTGCGTCTGCACCCCGTCAGGCTTCCACTGTGCATGGACGATTCTGTAATTCTGACCCTCGTTGTTGTCCCAGAAGACCTGCCCATTAGCATGGTAGGCGATACAGAACTCAATTTTCTCCTTTGTGGGGATGACGGAGGGCAGGTCAATGGCAAATGAGAAGGTGTCACTCTCTGAGCCACCGTACACATTTTTCATGTAGGCACAGTCCACATCGTTGTAGCTCTGCCAGGAGTCAAAAGTGATCCGGATCTGAACCTTCTTCTCAAAGCTCATGTTCTTCACCTTCACAGTCCCCGTCACTGTTCGCTCCTGCAAAGAGCAGTTCTCCAGGCAGACAGAGTTCTTCTGGAAGTGGTTCCGAAAACTTAGGTAGTCAGCTGAAGGCTGAGGGAAATCCAGAATCAGGTTCTTCTCCTCATGGAGCTTTAAGCCTGAGGAGATATCGTTCAGGTCCAAGAGGTCAAACTGGAGATCCCACACGGGCTCCTCTGGAAGGTCTGAGAAGACGTGGATGGCGGTGAGGGAGAGGCCCTTAGAGTCCGCAAACACCACCCGCTTCTTGGCTTGGTTGTGTGAAGGCTTCCAGTCGTCCTGTGCTCTGGCTTCCTGCTTTATGTTGAGACACGGCTTCAGGGGCTTTAATTTGTTCACAAAATTTCTCCGTTGGAAGTCATCATAAGGGCTCAGGAAGCTCTTCAGAGGTGGGGAATGAGCCAAGCAGAGCCTCACAGCGACATCCACGGGCATGACGGAACTTGTCAGAGGCCGTGGATCTAAGACCTGGATCATTCTGGAATATAGAAAGAAGAGGGGTTATCATCTGCACCTGGAATGCACTTCCCCTGGTCCCAAGTATGTCTGTACTATTTTTGTTGGCTCTTATAGCCAGCACAGTGCTCTCACATGTGTTAAAGGAATGCAGGGTTAGGTGATAAGAGCTGCATCTTATGTTTGGCTCTACCAAACACTTAGTGTTAAAACACTTGGTGACCCAGTTTCTCCATTTGAGAAATAAAAGATTTGGATGGGATCATCTCTAATACAGCTCTAAAAGCATTTGCTCTGTTCTGCAGCACCAGTTCTCAAACCTGTCTGTTTTCAGGCAAGTTCCTTACTGTCAGAGCCATCATGGAAGCCCCCACCATGGCCTAGAGAGTTGGATTTCTATCTTTCTCTTCAATACAGAATCCATTGCATCAAGAATTTATATATGTTCTTAAAGATTCCCAGGTAAGCTAATGACCAGACAGGTTCTAGAATCAAAGTTCCAGACTGCACTCCCTCAACTGTTTTGATGATTTTGCTATTGAATCAATTACACTTCTCTGGAACCACAGTCCATTTAAAAAGAAAGAATAAAAACAGCAAAGGGTTTTGAGAGCAAAAGACTAGAAAGACTGAATCAGAGGATTATCTCTGTACTTTCATTACCATGTTCTTCCTCATTTTACACAAATAACCCACTGAAGTGCAAGGCAGCCATTTATGAATTTTAAAAAATAACTTTACATAATCTGTATTTTACACAAAAAGACATTCATGTCAAATCCACATTTAAGTGGGAAAAGCTGATGATCTGAAAATTATTGTCACTATTTAGTCACTCAGTTGTGTCAGACTCTTTTGTGACCCCATGGACTATAGCCAACCAGGCTTGTCTGTCCATGGGATTTTCCAGGCAAGAATACTGGAGTGGGTTGCCATTTCCTTCTCCAGGGAATCTTCACGACCCTGGGATCGAACCCATGTCTCCTGCATTGCAGGTAGATTCTTTAATGCTGAGTCACTGGGAAAGCCAAACCTGAAAATAGGATATTTTCAATATGTGTTTTATATATATTATATATATATATATATATATATATACACACACACACACACACACATTTATGAACTTATAAATGTTGAAAAGTGTAATAGGAAGCACAACAAAAAGTTAACAATTATCTCTAGGTGATAGGTGATCTATTTTTGCCTTTGCACTTTTTTGATGTTTTCTAATGTTCTGGCAATGGATATTTATGACCAGAAAGATAATAAAGCTATTTAAAATTTAAATATAACTATGCTCAGAAATATTAAACCATGAAGTGTCCATCAAGAAGGATATTTTTTCTGGCCTTTAGCCCTGTGTATACAGTGCCAAACTCAAGGACATTTTTCCCCTATCCTAGCCTTCAGATAAGAAGTGTGTGTATACTATATGTGACATTTCTCATTCTGGCTTTAGTAACTATCTTCCCAGCAACTCCAAGCACATAGGCAAATGGTCATTATCATAAGATGAATAATAAAAAAACATTCTGAGAATTCACTTTATTAGCCCTAGGATTTTTCTGGGAGACCTACAAACTTAGAATAAACAAATGAGAGAGAAAGCTATATTTATTGGTCTAATAATAGTTAACAGGCAGGAATTTCAGAGAAGTCTTCTGCTAAGTTATGTCTAAAGAAGCTATTTAAGTAGTTTTGTGGATGGTTTTTTTGTTTGGGGTTTTGTTCTGTATTTTCACATTTTGCACTTATAGAAAGACAGTTTTAGGATATGGCGATTTCCCTGGAATGTTAAGTCTGACCCAAGAGTTTAAAAATAATCATTTGCTCAAACTCTGAGACTAAGTTTGCTATGGCAAACCATCAGAAGAAGGAAAGAGGACCAAGGAAAGTGAACATCGTCCATCGTTCGTTCTTCCCAAAGCTAAACTACCCAACCAGAAATCTGAGTGCTCTTCCCACGAGTCCTTGAGACATCTGGGCAGGACCAAGAGATACGGTTAGAATCCACGAGGGAATCAGAACTAAAGCTGACTCACGTTAAAACAGTTTCTGGTTTAAGATGCCGTTTACCGAAATCAGCTCTGCCTAAGATGCTCAGAGCAAATCTTCACACCTCCAAGGCCTCCCCGGCGCCAGATTCAAGTCAGCAGCCTGTCAACCCGCCCTCCCCTAGGGTCTCCAGGGCGGGGATGACAGCAGGAAAACGCATCCCTGCCTCCCGACAGCTGCCTTCTCCCTGAGCTCCGGGCCGGAGAATCTGCCGGGAACCTACCTGGTGCAGCTCATCAGGCAGAGGAGCGGCGGCTCTTCGCGGTTTGCGAGAGCTCGCACCGGTCTCCTGGGAATCCCCGTGTGGCCGCAGCTCCGGCAGATCGCGGGTGCGGGGCCCGGGAGGCTGCTTAACTGCTCGGGACCACGTGAGCCGACTGCCAAGGCCAATCGCCGGGCCTCGGGCTCGACGGCGCGACCAACCAGCGCTCAGCTGGGGCTCGAGCCCTTGCCCGGGACGTGACGGCCGTGGTGCAGGGTTCGCTGGGCGCTGGGGGCGCTCTGGGACCCGGGGCCAGCTAGCCAGGGTAGCGTAACACGAACCCCGGGCGAGGAGGCGCGGAGGCAACCGCGTAGCGCAAGTAGCGGCTGCAGGCCAGGAGGGAAAGCAGCAATCCTCCTCCCGCGCGGGGCGCCGACACAGCGGGGCTGCAGGGAGGGAGGTGTCTTTCACTAGCGAGGCTTCTGTATACGTTATCTGAGCGCAGGACACTGTGGCTCGTTCCGGGAAGGCGTGGAGGGTTGGGGGTGGGGAATGGGATGTGTGTGTGTGCTTATATTTACATTTTTGAAATGTTTATCTTGTTCATTGCTTGGTGCATTGGCTCATCTCCCTTTCCTTGCCCTGAGCAATCAGAAGTTGACTGAATATTTTGGGGTTAGGGTGAACCCACAAATGCACCACACAGTACATTCCTTCTCTAACTAATATTGTTAATAAACCGTGTTAGTCAGTATAGATTGCTTCAGCCCTGTCCGACTCTTTAAGACCCCAGGGCTAGCCCGCCAGGCTCCTCTGTCCTTGGGATTTTCCAGGCAAGAATACTGGAGTGGGTTGCCATGCCCTTCTCCAGGGGATCTTCCTGATCCAGGGATTGAACCCGGGTCTCCTGCTTTGCAGGCAGATTCTTTACCATCTGAGCCACCGGCAGTCCGTGTTAGCCCTATTATAAGACAATGAGGCAGCATTTCATTAAAAGGCACTTTGTCTTTCAATCTATTCTTCAGCTTTTCTCCCTGGAAGAGAAAACTAAAGCCAGAAATGAAAAGGCCTCTTTTGCTCATGTGGTGGTCAGCTCGCAGAGCCAGTGGTCAAACCAAATCCCTCGACTCGGTTCTGACGTCCTCTGGCAGCGATGTGAAAACCAAAATGTTAAACTATCACACTGTAAGTTTCATGACTCTCCCAGGCCAGTTACTCTCAGCGAGGTTTCATGATTTTGTTTAGTTTGGGGAGTTTTTAGACCATCAGTTACAACCATAAAATTAAATTTCTAAGTCGAGTAGGAATTGTTTATATAAAATCCATGTCCTTGTCTGCTCTCAATTTAGTTATCCAGTAGTCCATTAAAATGTACAGAATATGCAATGTAAAATGTACACAAATCCCTGTGTCTTTAAAATCACTGTTAAAATGGTGTGGTTAAAGAAAAAGAAACTGAGTGTCCCTGGGGTAGTTGTTTATCACTTGGGCTTGATTTTTTAAAGGAAACATCCAACTAAGAGCAGATCTTCTAGTTTCTCAGCACAACCAAAACTAGCTGAAGGAGCACGGTTTGGGTTTGACACTTTCAAATCTAGACAAGTTCGAGCTTCAACTCCCTCATCAGTAAAATGGAGCTAGTGAAATTGTTCTGAGGATTAAATGAAACTGTGCAGATGAGAAAACTCAGCAAAGTGCTCAACAATACTATGTGTTCAACAATACTATGTTGAGCTCAAGAGTGGCTATTACCAATTACAGTTACAGAGAAACATGAAATAAAAATAAATTGTGATCCCATTTTAGGGGTAAGACATGCATATATGGAAAAGAGAATATACTCGACCTAAATGCTAACAGTGCTTAATTTGGGGCAATAGTGATATTATGAATAATTAAAATTTTATTTCTCATTTTGTGGGCTTTCCTGGTGGCTCAGATGATTAAGAAGCCGCCTGCAGTGCAGGAGACCTGGGTTCAATTCCTGCATTGGGAAGATACCCTGGAGAAGGGAATGGCTACCCACTTCAGTATTCTGGCCTGGAGAATTCCATGCACTATACAGTCCATGGGGTCGCAAAGAGCTGGACATGACTGAAGCCACTAATACTAACGAACTGAGCAACTTTCACTTTTCACTTTTTTGTCATTTTGCTTCTCTGTATTTTTTTATTTTTTTCTACAGTGAACCTGGACTTTTTCTGTAATTGAGAAATCATCATTAAATGACTTAAGACTTTCAGATTCAGCTAACATATATAGCTTACCTACTAGGTGCTAAGAACTGTGTTGGAGGCTTTGACATGCTTACACCATTTACTCACAGTCCTTTTGAGTTTGGGCTTCTTTCTGTTCAAACTGCTTTCTCTTCTGCCCCCTGGTGCTGACTGATGCCATAAAAGCCACTATTCTGAACTTAAAAATCAAGGGTACAGGGCTGTCTCCATTGACATGAATCCACCACGGGTGTACATGTGTTCCCCATCCTGAACCCCCCTCCCAACTCCCTCCCCATCCCATCCCTCTGGGTCATCCCAGTGCACCAGCCCTGAGCTATGTCAATGTATGGCAAAACCAATACAATATTATAAAGTAATTAGCCTCCAATTAAAATAAATAAATTTATATTTTTTAAAAAGGGCTATCTCCAAAGAAGAGTCAACACTCAATTAACTTCTAAACTGGATGATCCAGGCCTCCCACTTCTATTCCCTCCCCTCACCTCAGATTTACTGAGATGTAATTGATATACAAGATTATG